TAAATCGAGAGTCAGATGCTTAACAGACTGAGCCACCCAGACGCCCCAGGTGTCCAACTCTTGATCTTGGCTTGGGTCTTGATCTCAGGGTCATGAGTTCAAGCCCCATGTTGGGGGTGGAGCCTACTTAAAAAAAAAAAGTTAAAAAAGAAAGCATTTTACTTATCATGGAGGGTAGAAGTTAAAATGATTTAAACAACAATTTTATATATTAAGTATTTATGTTAATAGTTGATCAAATGCTTAAATTTGCCTGGTATTAACAAGTGAAGCAACCCCCGCAAAGATGACATTAGCTTCAAATGAACGCCTTGATCAGTTCTTTAACAGCCCACTTCTCCTCCTCTCTCCATCCGCCCCCCGGCCACCTGTCCCACCATGTCTGCCCTTTTCTCATCTATGCCACAGCAATACCCTCCCAATTAACATAGTGGAAGTGTGCCTCCTTTGGCTGATCCTGAAAGATCCCCTGAGCTATTTTCCTTTAGACACACCCAGTTTCTTCACATAAGCCAATATTGATAAAAATCCATTAACTAGATTTGAATGTATACGTAAACACACTGGGAAGAAAGAAAAATCTCCTTCTATTTGTTTCCCTCCAAGTGCAGTCAGAATAAACTGTCAGGAATTAGGAAGTTACCAAATACGTACTTACAAAGCTGCTAACTAATACCTAATGATTCATAATGTCAAGACTGAAAATGATATTCAACAATAGCATCATGGCTAACTAAATTATAAAACATCCCCTGAAAGGAGTTACTCACACTTACATAGAATTTACAGTGCCTAAAGTAGCTTTATAATTTTCCTTTTTCTCCACAACAGTCTAGGTGAAGAAACTGGGATCCAAAGAGGTTATATCTACACTGAGGATTACAAGCCTGTAAGGGTCAAACTGGGTCTCTCTTCAGTCTCTGTGATTCTAAATCTACCTACTGGACTATTATGCAGCCATATATAGAAGGCTTATGAAGCATCATGGAGATTATTTATAATATACTCTTCCCAGTAGTAAAATGGCATATAAAATTGTATCCTATGATCTTCAAAGTAAATATACTTTTTTTTAAAGATTTTATTTATTTGTAAGAGAGAGAGAAAGCACGAGCAGGGGGAGCGGCAGGCAGAGCAGGCAGAGGGAGAAGCGACTCCCTGCTGAGCAAGGAGCCCTATGTGGGACTTGATCCCAGGACCCTGGGATCATGACCTGAGCGGAAGGCAGTGACTTAACTGACTGAGCCACCCAGGTGTCCCAGTAAATATAATTTTAAGGGGATTTGGCAAAATAAAAACAGATGATAAACTGGGATGGCAGGAATGTGATTTTTCTTTCTTTTATTAGTCATAATATAATTATTATTTATGCAAAAAATAAGAAAAATTTGAATTAGTTTACTATTAGAGATCTAGCCAGGGGAAGTTAAAATAAAAACAAACAAAACCCTCACAGAACTAAGAACCATAAAACCAGTGCTCCAGGTACAACTGGAAAGTGCATGCTTCCTACAGGAAAGAACGCAGAGCTGAGTTTCAAAAAATTATTTAGAGGCGCCTGGGTGGCTCAGTCGTTAAGCATCTGCCTTCGGCTCAGGTCATGATCCTGGGGTCCTGGGATCGAGCCCCGCATCGGGCTCCCTGCTCAGCCGGAAGCCTGCTTCTCCCTCTCCCACTCCCCCTGCTTGTGTTCCCTCTCTCGCTGTGTCTCTGTCAAATAAATAAATAAAATCTTAAAACAAAAAAACACAAAAAAAACAAAAAATTATTTAAAAAGGTTACCAAATGAGCATGAGGAGAAAAGGGGAAATCCAATCTTCCACCTGCACAGCCTTTTGAACATTTCAAAATGCTGTATTACCGACATGATTTCAGGGAGAAAACGGAGGTCTGGAGAGGTTAAGTGAAGAGTGAATGTTTCATGGCTAGTAAATTCAAATTCACACCGAAACTCCTGCTTATAACCTAGCACGACGATGTCCACTCCTCAGAAGTGTAAGGACTTTTAAAAAATTTCATAAAGAATCTCATGTTCAAACCAGAATATGCAAATCTATAGGAAAACAGATTCGTGGTTGCCAAGGGGAAGGGGAAGGTGACTGCGGAATGGCTCCTGGGTTTCCATTTTAGGTGATGGAGGCACCACACTGAACGTACTTAATGCCACTGACCTCTACTCTTCTAAATTGTTACAACTGTAAACTGTACACTATTTACCACAATGAAAAAGCCTGACAGACACAGTAACAGGTCTGCCTTTAGTAGACAGCGATTATAGAACATCTTAAAAGATTATAGACAATCTTAAAAGAATTCAATACTGCCTAAAACTACTATTTTATTAATCATAGCAGCAACATACTCTTAAAACATTAAGCCTACAATGTTTGAAGCACAAACCTGATTTCTTTTAAGTTCCCAAGGAGTTCATGACCCTCAAATCGTAATCACTAATCTATGTTCCTTCTTAAAAACAAACAACAAAAAACTCTTCTTGATGCTTAAGGGGTAATGAGGTAATCTTTTTTTTTAATTTTTTTTATTGTTATGTTAATCACCATATATTACATCATTAGTTTTTGATGCAGTGTTCCATGATTCATTGTTTGTTCATAACACCCAGTGCTCCATGCAGAACGTGCCCTCCTCAATACCCATCACCAGGCTAACCCATCCCCCCACCCCCCTACCCTCTAGAACCCTCAGTTTGTTTTTCAGAGTCCATCATCTCTCATGGTTCGTCTCCCCCTCTGACATACTCCCCTTTTCTTCCTCTCCTGTTATCTTCTTCTTTTCCTTTTTTCTTAAAATATGTTGCGTTGTTTCAGAAGTACAGATCTGTGATTCAACAGTCTTGCACAATTCACAGCGCTCACCGTAGCACATACCCTCCCCAATGTCTATCACCCAGCCATCCCATCCCTCCCACCCCCAACCACTCCAGTCACACTCAGTTTGTTTCCTGAGATTAAGAATTCCTCACATCAGTGAGGTCATGTGATACATGTCTTTCTCTGATTGACTTATTTCACTCAGCATAACACCCTCCAGTTCCATCCACGTCGTTGCAAATGGCAAGATCTCATTCCTTTTGATGGCTGCATAATATTCCATTGTGTATATATACCACATCTTCTTTATCCATTCATCTGTCGATGGGCATCTTGGCTCTTTCCACAGTTTAGCTATTGTGGACATTGCTGCTATAAACATTGGGGTACACGTACCCCTTCGGGTCCCTACATTTGTATCTTTGTGGTAAATACCCAGTAGTGCAATTGCTGGATCGAACGGTAGCTCTAATTTCAACTGTTTGAGGAACCTCCATACTGTTTTCCAGAGTGGTTGCACCAGCTGGCATTCCCACCAACAGTGTAGGAGGGTTCCCCTTTCTCCACATCCCCGCCAACATCTGTCGTTCCCTGACTTGTTAATTTTAGCCATTCTGACGGGTGTGAGGTGGTATCTGGTAATGAGGTAATCTTACAGAGGCTATCCAACCTTAGAGATTTCAGAGGGCCAGAGCATTAGATTTTGTTTTCTTTACAGAAGTACCGTAATGCATTTTAGACTACCCTCCTCCTTAAAATTAATTTGCCACTTAATGTACTTTATATATTTCTCACAATTCCCTCATAATACATTTTAAATAGTTTCTGTAAGGATAAAAATAAAATAAGAACAACAATTAGCAAATATTTACTATATCCGTGGCATTGTAAAAAATATAAAATTTTGAATGGTCCCTGCCCCAAAGGAACCTGAAATATAGTTAAGAAATAGAAATTCATGAAAATTTAAATACCAACAATTACTTCAATGACAACTTAAGACATGAAAGGAAGCACACAGCAACAGATATTGATTACTTGCCATAGGAACAGAAGATAAAAACTGCTACAGGGTTTCAGAGAAGGGAGCGATTATTCCAGTCTATGGTGTATGAAAAGGCTCTACAGGAGAACTGGATTTTGAATGAGCTGCATCTTGAAGAGCAAGCAAGATTTGGGGAAGCGAGGCAAAAACAAGAGAGGATTAGAATATCCCTCGTTAAGCTTCATTTAATTCACTACTGCCTGCTGAATTCTCATTCTGTCCAAGGTAGCAAAAATGCAAAGATAAGGCACTCTGGGTAACCCTTGGTCAATTTCCCTTTGTAGGCCTGAAATCCTTCAAAACATATCATACTGTACAATTAGTTATCCTCAACTCCCATCATGGGAAACAAGTGGGATTGGCAAATTTCTGATGACCGTTGTTTTAAAATAAATCACACCTTAATCTGAATGCATTATTCCCAAGAAGTAAATTTCACATATCACAATGAACTCAATGTATCCTCTTACAAGCTTTCCGTAAAGAAATCTCTTTCTAGAAGTATGTGTACTTACTAATTAATATCACCACTAGAAAATAGAGAGGGGCTTGCCGATTGAACACAGCTTGGACATGGAATAAAGGCAAGACTAGGTATCAATAAGGCCCATCACTTCTGCCCCAAGAGTATAAAGAGGGGGTCAGAAGTCTCTCCACTTTGAAGCAGTACTGTGAGATCAATGGACAAAAGCACTTGTGTGCAATGATTTGTGCCCAAAAAGCTGGGTGGAGGTATAGACATTAGACAAAATTTCATTTTACAATTTTAACCCCATCTTCCAAGGGTTCAACTGGATTTGAGCTGGGTAAATCTAAATATCCCACACTGGCCAAAAGTCCTGGCTAGATTGCTATACTAGGGATTTTTTTGAGCTGAAACTAGGAAACAAAGTCAATCTTTTTCTGGTTCTATAAGTTGTGAGGGGTGAAACTGGGACCCATAAAGCAGTCATGATTCTTGCCATGTGGAGAAAAGTGGAGAGTCATGCAGAAAAAGCACCTACCTCTGAACAGTTTTAGTATAAAGCTACAAAATAAAAAAAGTTCATACTTTATCAGTCTAAAATATATCAAACCTTTACCAGGAAGAGAGAAAATGTTATGTTAGTATTAATGTTACTAACCTTGTTTGTTCTTGGGTTCAACATGAGTGTCTTGCCTTTTTCTCTTATGTGCATATGACGACACACGAGAGTACAGGGCGTAGCGACTATTCTCAACCGGGACAACATCTTTCCTTTCACCTGGGGAAAAAGAAGCAAACAAAGGATGAGAAACATATAGAACTGCATGCACATCAGGTATCAGTTTTCAAAAGCAGATATAGAAAGCTTAATTTTCCACATTTGAAAAAGCTTTATTAAAGTACATTTACGTTTCTATAGGTTGTAACCGTTGTAAAAAAAAAGGTAATAATTGGGCGAAGACACCGACTGACTTTTCCTGACAATACTCTAAGTCCCTAGTTAATAATCATTGCTATTTTGTGTATACTGTAGACTACAGTGTGCTAAACACTTATTCTTTTTTAAGATTTTATTTATTTATTTGACAGAGAGACACAGCGAGAGTGGGAACACAAGCAGGGGGAGTGGGAGAGGGAGAAGCAGGCTTCCCTCCGAGCAGGGAGCCTGATGCAGGGCTCGATCCCAGGACCCTGGGATCACGACCCAAGCCGAAGGCAGACGCTTAACAACTGAGCCACCCAGGCGCCCCTAAACATTTATTCTTTTTCTAAGCCACAAGTGTGGCAAGGCATGTATCTTCCAATTATGAGAGAAATAAGTTAGTTGAGAGATTAAGAAACAAGGTAACATCAGTAAACAAAGACATGCGGTCCATGTAAATGCATATGGGAGTTTAGGTTGAAGGTGGAAAAGTAAGTAACAGGAAAGCCTGCAGGATAAACATTCAGAGGAAGAGAAGCTATTCAAATTCTTAATCTAGCTGTACAATTTTAATGTACTAATAATAGTCAGCATTTAAATGTAATGTACTAAATATTTTTGTTTTCAAAAAAATCTGTTATTTAATATTAAAAAACATGCAAATTGGCTAGAAAACATGTTTTTGCCCTTTCACGACCATCACAAACACACGGGAAGTTTTCCCAAAATGGAAAACTCTACATAACACATTACACATTAAATACTTAAAATGGGAATATAATAGATTCTTCTGCATATCAATTCTCCCACTCAAAATCACTTTGCAAAGCCCATTTATCTTAATCATTACAAATCACTGCAATTATCCTGCAGTAAGTTTTTTACTGGAATTTTTATTGGCCTAGAAATCAAGGTTTGTATACGGGGTGCAGCAAACCATTACAGTGGGATTGTTTTTTAAGTTAATTTTTACGGAAGTGAATTCACATAACAAAACTTGCCATTTTAAAGTGAACAATTCAGAGGGATTTAGAAAATCCATAATGTTGTACAATCCACCTCCACCTAGTTCTGAACCATCTTCACCATCCCAGAAGGAAACTCTACCCCATTAAACAGTTCTTCCCCTCCTCCAGTACCTGCAACCACCAACCTGCTTTCTATCTTTATGGATTTACCTATTCTGGATATTTCATATAAGTGTGGCCACAAAAACAAAAAATCTATCTGATTATAAGGACATCAAGAATCATGAGAGATGGGGACTGGGGTGGGAGGCTAGGACAGATGTTTAAAGGTACAAACTTGCAGTGAGAGTCCTAAGAAATAAAGCCTAAAGATATAATGCATAGTATAGTGAATACAGACAATAATACTGTATTATAATCATCAAACTTTCTAAGAGACTAGATCTTAATTGTTCCAACCACTAAAAAGAAATGATAACTACATAACATGAGAGGTGATAATTATCACTACAATGGCAATCATGTTACAATATATAAATATATCAAATTAATGTTATACACCTTAGATTTATACAATGTCATATGCCAACTATACTTCAATAATAATAATAAAAAAGAATTATAAGGGATATACAACAAAATAATTGGGTCACTCTAAAAAGTCAGTGAAAGACAAACAGTAAGGAACTACTGTAATTTAAAGAAGACTGAACATATGACAACTAAATGCAAAACCTGAATTAAAAAAAATGCTATCAAGGACACTTATTGGGACAGCTGGCAAAACTGGAAGATATACTGTAGCTTAAATAAAAGTACTGTAAAATTTTCTGTATTTGATAATCATATGGAAGAGATATCCTTGTTCTGAAAACACAGTGAAGTATGAAGGGGCCAAGAAGTATGATGTATGCAACCAAAGCCTTTCAAATCATTTCAAAATAAATTTTAAAAAGATTGAAATGGTAGCATTGATTATGTGTTTGTGTGGTTCTTCCAGGAGAGAGCATTATTTGTCAAAATTAAAACTTTGGTACCAAAAGACTGGATTAGTATTGCAGTATATTGGTGAGGTAGGCAAATCTAAGATATAGTACGGAATACTTTTTACTTTAAATCAAAGACAATCTGAAAAAGTTTCATTTTGTAATCAGTACTTGTGGTATAATAAGAAATATATTTGGGGGGGGCTCCTGGGTGGCTCAGTCATTTAAATGTCCGACTCTTGATTTCCACTCAGGTCATGATCTCAGGGTCCTGAGGTCAAGCCCCAACACAGGCTCCAGTGGAAAGTCTGCTTGAGATTCTCTGCCTCTTGCTCTCCCTCTGCCCCCCCAAAAATAAACAAGTAAATAAAATCTTTAAAAAAAAAAGAAATATATTTGGTTTTTGTCCCTAGTTTCTGGCACAGAGCTCCTAAAAATCCTTGGAATTTCCTGAATGATAAGAGTATTTTTTGTTATTCATAAGAAGCCACTTTTGATCACATTTGAGTTTATGGTCCACTACAAAGCCTCAAGATAGAGCTGGTCACCAGCAAAACCAAGTGATTAGAGTAGGAAATTTCTGCCCCACTCCAGAACCTCCAGAAAGGGAAATGGGCAGGGCCTGAAGACTCTTTAATGAGGAGATCGGATGAGCTTTCATGTTGGCGAACACATATAGGTGCTGGGGGGTGGCACACTCAGGGAGGACAAGGAAGCTCTATATCTCCCCACCCCCCACTCCCATGAATACCTAGTTCTATGCATCCTTCCATCTGTCCCTGAGTTGTATCCTTTTATAATAAATCAGCAAATATAAGTAAAGTATTTCTCCAAGTTCTGTGTGCCGTTATAGCAAATCATCAAAACAGGAGGGGGTTGTGGGAAGCCTCAATTTATAGAGAGTTGGTCAGAAGTATGGGTCACAACCTGGGACTTGCAACGGGCATCTCAAGTAGGGGCAGTCTTTTGGGACTGAACCCTTAACCTATGGGATATGAAGCTATCTCCGTATGGACAGTGTCAGAATTAAGTTAAATTAAAGCAAACCCAGTCAGCATCTGCTGAGAACTGGAGAACTGCTGGGTGTGGGGGAAAAAAATCCCATGTTTAGTGGCCAGAAGAATTGAAAATGTGAGTAAAGAAAATTCAAGTTTTTCCTTTCAGTTGTTAACTTAAGAGCATCATTCTAATATATGAAATCTATTTTCAACTCCTGGTTAAAGTTTTGCTTCTCTCCAATACCAAATTTAGTCTGTATAATGAAGATAACACCACTTGTCAAATCGGCCTTATAGATAATTGTGATGATCAAATGAGACTATATGCAAAAAAATATTATAATTACAGAATGTTTTATCACTGAAATGGCTAGTGATAGAGAGTAAAATAAAAGAGTAATTTTAATAGTGTCTTTAAAACAGTGCTCGTAAGTTAAAAGAAATTAAGGAAAAAAAAATCTGCCAAAACTAGAACCAAGGACTAAGAGATAGACAGGGAAGCTTAAATACCAGTAATGAGAGGCAACAAAATAAAATGTTATGTTATGCAGGTAGGATGGAAGAACTCTAAGAATGAGTGAAGTAAATACAGGAACCAAAAGGCAGGGCTTCTAATTTTTAATTAATATGTAAAATCAAGCTGCTTGCTTCCTTGACAGTTTCTGGGATACTGAGATATGCCTCTGGTTTCTCCCCCTGGTGTGTCATTCACATGGCCTTGCTCTGGAACTTACTCTCTGGTGTTTATAAACTGGACTGGGACAGAAACTGCTAGGCCACTGGTTGGGCTGCTGGAGACTACTCTCCCTGGCCCCCTACTTGGGGTTAAAGGTGGGCGATGCAAGGGAGACCGAAATTAGAGGTCATGACTGGATGCAATGAGCACAAGCTCTGCAGTCAGACAGGAGTTTGAATCTGGACTCAGCTCATCACCCCTTTGGATTCAGTTGTGTCACCCAGGCATTCCCAAATGGACTCTGATTTGGTGTTAGCCTGGAACACATTTTTCGCTGGTGTGTGGCCAAATGAGAAAGATTGGGACAATACAATATAGTCGTTCATAAAACAAAATTTATTCTCTTTGTTTTCTTGTTCTAATTATGATCTTCCTCCCTTTTTGGTGATAAAAATTCTTTTCTTTTATGAAAGGATGGGGATGGTGGATTGCAAGGTTCTTAAAAGGGTCCTTAACCTTGACAGATTTAAAAGTTGGCAGTCTATGTCTGGTCCCAATTGTCCCCCTATACACACTTGCCCATCAAGTCCAAAAGTCTGAGGACTGCCTTAGAAGTCAATGAAACAGGGGAGGGGAACTCTATTTTGCAGAGCTGTGTGTAGTAATGATGATATTTATAAAGTATCAAGCAATTAAGAGCTTTATCATCATCATAAAGAGCTTGACTACTTGATATGAAAGTTTATTCAATAAAATCCATATCCAGGCAGTTTAGCAGAGTAGTCAAAGGCAAGCTCTGGAATCAAACTACTGGACTTAAATCCTGGCTTGGCCAGTGCTAACTCTGATTTTGAATAAGTCTGTTGCAGTTTTCTCATCACTCAAATGGGAATGATAAACAACAGGACCTACTAATCAGGGACATTTTAAGATTTAAATTAGATAATCCATGTAAGATGCTTATCACAGTGCCCTCTAAGTGCTCTATAAATGTTAGTTATCTAAGCACTGTTAGTAGAAACAGACTAAGGTGGTCAGAAGGTGTCTTCTGAATGCCTGTTAGTCTCTGCATCAACATCTTCTACTGTGAAATCCTTATTAAGAGGCTATAAGGATAGTCATGGTTAGCATTTATTTAAACTATTTCAAATCAAATCTCTAGGTCAGTAATGAGAATTTGGATGGTATACAGATCCAGGCAACATCAAATATCATTCTGAACAACAACATCTACAGAATCAATATAGTATTTTACATTACTTCTGAAATTTGTAAATATTGATCAAAGGAAATATACAGCCATATAATCAAAATGGTGACTTTAAAATAAAAGTTAACTTTTTATAAAATAGATTTTTAGAAAACCAAATGTAGAGTGATTTTGATAGTATGGATTTTGCCCTCCTCCTAAAACTGATCCTCAGTAAACAACTATAGGTTTCAGTTATTATTTATGTTTTAAAGTATGACTGAATTTGGGGCACCTGGGTGGCTCTGTCGGTTAAGTGTCTGACTCTTGATTTCAGCTCAGGTTTCAATCTTAGGGTCGTGAGTTCAAGTTCCAAGTTGGGTGTGGATCCTACTTAAAAAATAAAATAAATAAAATATGACTAAGTTTGTCAATAATTCACCAACATAAATTAGAATTTTAGTTTAACTTAATATAAAAACTAATATAGTTTAAAATAGCTTATTGTTATAGGCAACTAAATACAAGTTATGCCTCAGCAGTATAGGAGTTAATTTGCAAAAGCAATTCTCAAATGGTAAATGAGTTTTTCTTTTATGAATTTTTAATGTGTTTCCATAACAACTGAATTATAAAAGACAAAAACATACATAAACAGCTTGTAAGGCTGAAACCTGTAAGCAGTTCTTTCTCAGGAGTAAGTACTGAGCAAGAGTATATTTAATTCTCAAGAGAATGAAGAATTACAAAAGCATAGCCCAACATTTCCTTAATATATGATAAAAGTTCTATCAGCATATCTGGGCTCTATGCCTAACTTTTAATTAAGTCTTTGTAATTACCATGAAAGAATCAAATACAGATTGCAAATCAAAGTTCAAAGCTAATTAAAGGTCCAACATTAGAAGACAAGAATTAAACTGTTTTTTCTGTATTTCTGCAAACCATGTAACATAGTAACATGTAACTCATTTAGTTTTAGTAGATACACAATAGATTATATACTCATCTATATTTTGTCAGTGTGCGGTGTGTGTATATATACACATACAAATAAACACATGAAGGAAGGTGGGGAGGGGGAAGTGTGGGCAACTATTTCTTCTCTAACTTCCAGGATGCCTGGACACTAAAGAATAAATTCATGAGTAAAAGACGAAGATTAAAATTCATGAGTACAACACTGCAATTACTTTAACAACATGAACAATGCTTAAGGAGCAATAGAATTAAGAGAGGGCTGGAGCTGTTATGTTAAATTGCCTGAGTTCGAATCCAGACTTTGCCACCTAAAACCTGTGATCTTGTGCAAGTTACTTAACCTTCTTAAGCCTTAGTTTCTTCATTTGTTAAGTGGAAATAACAGGACCAACCTCAAAGAGTTATTTTGAGATGATTCATGTACAGAACAATGTCCAGCCCATAACTGACAATTAATACATCCTTCTATCGTTACCAACTGTAACACTAAAAGAAACAACAATGCTATTAACTATTCTGCTTAGAAGTGACTGCCACACGCATTAGGAAAATAAATCAAACAGATAAGGAGATAATGCATTTTGTAAGGAAGCACTACTGTTAAGATGTATTATTTTGATGATGCTTCTCATCAAAAGGCAACATGTTTTCTAAAACTGTTTTCGTAACCACGAAAGAAAGCCAATTCCAGGACCGCAAATGTACCACCACCACACAAGCAGAGGTGGTTATCACCAGCGTCAAAGAAACACCTGCCAATTCTGGTCTATTTATGCCATTTCGCATGAACGGACAGAACTGTTCCAATCGCATAACTTTCTAGTTTGTAGCAAACTTCCTTTAAAGAGAGGAACGAACGAACAAACGAACACACACACACACAAAGCCTAACTCCTGTCATTAATTCATCCCTGCAGGAGCAGATGTGATAAAAGGTGTCAAGCCACAAAATCGGTCTTTAAAGGGCGCGGGAGGGAGCGACGCTCGTGGTCTGGAAGCCACTGGACCTCATTTCGGGGGCAGGAAGGGGGCCGCCCTGGAACCAGCGAATCTAGAAACGGGGAAGTCGAGCCCCAAAACCGTGCCCGGGAAAGAGCCGCGGACGCTCGTACTGGGGACCGCCGCGACCTGACCGCTCCCCCGCCCTCAGCCCGGGCTCGGGGCGTCGCTTCCCTTAACCTTGCCCCGCCCATCCGCCAAGCGGGTTTCTGCCCGCCGCACGCGCGAAAGCCGGCGGCGGGCCCGCAATCGGCTCGGCGGATCGGGCGGGAGGAGGCGGGCGCCCGCTCCCCTCCCGGAGCTCCCGCCCGGGCCCCTCCGCGCCAGGCCGCCTGCAACCGCGCGCTGCGCGGAGCCTTACCCGAAGTCTTACCCCGCGACAGGTGGTGCTGCGGTCAGAGAGGCAGCGGCCCTGCCGCCCACACACGCGCGATGCTCAGCTGCGGCCGAGTCCGGTCCCCCTCTTCCCTGAGCTTCGCGGAACCGGCGCTAGCTCAGGTTCGGACATGCATGGGCGGGCGATAGCCGGCGAGGGAGCCAAGCAGTCGGCGTAGTGAGCCAGCGAGCGGGGGGGCGGGCCGGCGCGGCCCCGGGCGGAGACTGACGGGCGCGCGGACCAATGCGGAGGCAGAAAGCCGGCCCGGGGGGCGGGGCTCCGGCCGCCACTTCGCGGCCGCCGCGGCCGGCGCGCCCGGGTTCCTTCCCCCCCAGGACCTTTCTTGATCTGGTTCTTTGAGGTTACTGTTTTGAGGACGAGCGCGCGCCAGTGCGGACGCGATCTCGAGGAATGCGAGAGGGGCCGGGTAGAGAAGGAGTCCGGAGACCCAGGCGACGCCCGTTGTTCCACGAAAGGAGTGGGGGCTGGTTTAAGGCGGACCCCGCATCCCTCGGGTTGCCGGGGTACTCCAGGGGGATGGCAGCGCGTTCGCGCGAGAAGAGGTTCTGCGCAGGCGCGGGCGGGCCGGGGGGAAATCCGTAGGTACCAGTCTCCCAGCCCCAGGAGGCGAGAGGAAAGCTGGGAGTTTGGGTCCTTCGTGGGCAGCGAGCGGAGGCAGACAGAAGATGGAAGGAGAGATTAAGAAAGAGCTGGATACAGGTCAGGTGGCTGGAGAAGCAGAAGAGGGGGGAGACGCAGGAAATGTGAGACCTCTGCACTTAAGGAACGCTTTCTGTCTCTGAGCTATTTTTATGTGTCTAGGCCTCGATCTTCTGCAGAATTCTTTGCCACTCTCCTCACCTGCTGGCACAGTTACTGGCTCGCAGGGAATTTACTAATCTCTATCATCACAGTCACCATAAACAGATGTTCAATGTCCTCTCTCAGAAAAGCACTGCAACACTAAATTGTCATCTTGAAAGCACCAGGGACTGTACCTTAGTACCCCTTTACCCACTCACGGTTATGACATTGGAGGATTTTTCTTCACTTTTTTTCAGAAAAATCTTATCACCAAAAATTCTTTGCTGTAAATGAGTTTGTGTACTTTTAAAGTATGATAATGCTAATTTTATTATTTTTTTAAGATTTTGTTTTTAAGTAATCTCTACATCCAAAGTGGGGCTCAAACTCACAACCCCTAGATCAAGAGTTGCATGCTCCACGGACTGAGTCAGCCAGGTGCCCCTTGTAATGATAAATTTAAAGTGAAGATGTAAAGGATACAAAAAGAGTCAAGGAGGATGGAATAAGAAAACGGAAAGTGATGGAAATGTAAAATAGAGAAAATTGAGTGGAAGTGGAGAAAAGTGAGTTGTCACTTCCTAACGCTGACAATTACGGGAAATCTGGAGCAACTCCGCCACTGTGAGCATCAAAGGGCGGGCATGTTTGGGAACACTATAGTGTTAGATAGTTAGATGATAAATGATAGGTATGGCTGCTATAGTAACCACCACAGTAAAAGGACTGTAAATAAGCATCACCTAAAATAACCCTGCTCACCAGAAATTGTCAAGAACATCAAACTGAATGAGGGAAACTTCAAAAAGTAAAAGTGTCATAAATGCTGCATTAGAAAGACAGTTTGTCCTACATTAGAATAACCCTGGTCTGAAAAGTTGTCGAGAGCTATCATGGATGAAACTTATTTTGGTTAAACTGAGGTCATTTCATTCCTTAAATGAAATATTTGTTACTGTCAAGAAGGCAAACACTGCTATTTGGCTGGCCCACCCCAATTAATTTATCCTGAGTCACTTTGGTGATTGGTCTGAGGCTTCCTATCCAAGACAGTAACATATGGCTATTGAGCACTTGAAACGTTGCTAGTTTAAATTGAGATACACACTGAGTATGAAAACAATCCAAAAAAAAAAAAAAGACTGTAAAATATGTATCTTGATTTTTAAAATATTGATCACCCGGGTGCCTGGGTGGCTCAGATGGTTAAGTGTCTGCCTTTGGCTCAGATCATGATCCCAGAGTCCTGGGATCGAGTCCCACATCGGGCTCCCTGCTCCTTGGGAGCCTGCTTCTCCCTCTGCCTCTCTCTCTCTCTCTCATGAATAAATAAAATCTTTTAAAAATGGAATAAAATATTGATCACCCATCAAAAAATTTTTGGATATTTTTGGTTAAATGAAATGTGTTATTGAAATTAATTTCCTCTCTTTTTTCCTTTTTTAACATGGCTATTAGAAAATGTAAAATTACATATGTAGCTCCCATTTGTGGCTTGCATTATATTTCAGTTGGACAGACCTAGTCTAAGAGGACCCTGTTAAAGTCACATACATGGAAGCTGCTGGGTGGGACTTCTGGAAAGACTTTAAAAAATATACTCAACTGGCATGTATCTTTGGCTTTTTGCTTCATTCCACTTCTTGCCAGAAAAGTTTGAAGGCATGGCACCCATCATTGGGCCGTAAGATGACAATCGAATGGATGAAGGCTTACACTCTAAGGATATTGGCAGGATTAAAGAACCTGGATCCCTAATAATATTATTGAGCCACATTCAGCCTTGGTTCCTAGCCTTATATTTCTTATTTTGCAAAATAAGCTTCTGTGTAAATCAACTCAAATAGGGTTTTCTGTTGTTTGGGGCTAAAAATAATTTCTAACAAGTACTGTTAAAATACACAAAAATCTTGTTCCCTGCTGTAATATCTTAGTTTATACTTCTTTCTTTAGAACAGCTCATAACCCAAATGGAGGATATCAAACCTAAAGTAGTAGTAACAGTATTAGGAGTAATGATAATAATAGATTTTCCACACCTCTGTTTTCAGTCATATGAGAAATTTACCACCAGTTACAGAGTAATGACCACGTCATCTAATCCAGGAGCTGTATCCTTCACTGCAGTTCTCCCCTGTAGAAACCAGAGAGGAAACTTTGGGAGGTTTTAGGCTTTATGTCTCTATTAATGATTACTCATGTTTTCCAATTACATTTGTTGTTTTCCTACCCTTGCATTGTCCAGATCAAGAATATAATATATGTAAGATGTCACCAAGTACCTGTTACGTGAAAGAACATGTTAATTGTTATATTAACTTTTCCATTTTGTATGTGTGTGTTGATGAAGAAAACTTTCTTGTTCAAATTTGTCTCATTTTAGGTTTTCCACTTTCTGGATGTTCCTTAAGAGAATGAAAGAACTTCTTCTTAAATGCAGGGTTCTCTCCAGTAAATGGAGTTACCGGACAGTCCTTAAGTAGAAATGCAGGTAAATAAGAAATGTAGCTCCAGGGGTGCCGGGGTGGCTCAGTTGGTTAAGCGTCTGCCTTTGGCTCAGGTCGTGATTCTAGGGTCCTGGGATGAACCCACATCAGGCTCCCTGCTCAGCGGGGCTTCTGCTTCTCCCTCTCCTTGCCACTCCCCCTGCTTGTGCTCTCTCTCTCTGTGTGTGTCAAATAAATAAAATCTTAAAAAAAATAAATGTAACTCCAAGCAGAGGATAGAGTATCCACCAATTAAATGTCCCATTTATGGATAACCTGGGAATGACAGAAGGAAGATTGTTGATATTCCTGTGGGCATGTGTTTAGGTATAGTGGGGTATGTGTGCAAATTACCTGAACAAATGCCTCAGTTCTTTAATAGTTTTCTACTTTTGTTTTTTGTTTTTTGTTTGTTTGCATCCTTATTTATATTGAAGGAAAGAGCACACTTTGGGAATTTGAAACACTGGAGTTCTAGTACTCTCTTGCACTCTTTTAAAAAGTCACTCGACAGTTTCTCCTGTCAGGTAGGTGCTATTAGACTTTCTCTACCTATTGCAAAGGTCACTGAAAGGAGGAAGTGTGATAAAAAATATACAACAGCTTTGTAAAGTCAAAGAGATACAAATACAAAGTATTCTCGTTCCTGTTCCCCTCCTGGCATATAGATGATGTTCAACAAATAATAATTAGCATTCATTGAGCACTTATTTGCTAAGCATTGTTCTCAGGTTCCTTATGTATACACTAAAATCATTTAATTGTCTCAATACTGTGATGTGTAGGTATAATTAGTATTCCCATTTTACATATGGGAAATCTGAGGATTTAGAGGTTGATTCATCCAAGAAAAAAGGGATACAAACTTATGTTGTACAAACTCTGAATATTTTTGAATATTTTTATATACAGTTCAATGTCTTGGAAAGACCAGAAAAAAGTATTTGGATTGTTATGCCACTCCAACCCCCAACCTAGGAAGTAGGAAGGCCCTTCCCACTTAAGCTGTTTATTAAAATCATTTTCATAACTCAAGGACAAATTCTAAGCTCACCTCTTCAGTAAAGCCTGGTGTGATAGAATGTAAATACGCATTGGGATTACCTGGAACACTAAAAAAAAAAAAAATGCCTATTCTATACTAATTAAATAAGAATCTTCTGGTATGGGACTCTAGCACCTGTGTTTCTTAATAATTCTCCTTTATTTTTTTTTAATATACTTCTTATATAGTAAAACCTCCATAAGAGTAGGGGCTTATAAAAATTATTTCTCCCTGTATTCCTTTCAAGCCCTCACATATGATTAATGTTTGATTAATTATAGGCAGGTTTAGACATGTCAACATCTTCCTTGTTCCAGTGAAGGAGTTCTCAGAGTGTGATTCTAGATCATCATCATCATAACCATTATCACCACCACCACCACCTGGGAACTTGTTAGAAATGCAACTACTTGGGCCCCACCGCAGACCCACTGAATCAGGAATTCTGGGGTTGGGGCCTAGCACTGTGTGTTTTGACAAACCCTCCAGTTGCTTTGGATACACACTCAAGTTTAAGAATCATTGTCTGATGCCATGCATTGATCAAGAATCTAATTTATGTTTTTGTGTAGAATTTCCTGCTCATTGGGAAACAAGGATGAAAAAGATACAATGCTTGCCCTCATGGAGTCTGCATTGTAATATGGACACAAAACATTTACTCATGTAAGTGTAATTTAATAAGCAATGAGTTGTTAAGTATTTACAGGTGAGGTGACAGGATCATGATGTCTTGGGGTTTTTTTTATTTTTCTTGGGAATGCTGCCTGGGTGGCTCAGTCAGTTAAGTGGCCAACTCCTGGTTTTGACTCAGGTCGTGATCTCAGGGGTCCAGAGATGTTACCCCGCATTGGGCTCCAGGTTCAGCACAGGGTCTACTAAGTTTCTCTTTCCCTCTCCCTTTGCCCCTCCCCCCACTCACTCTCTCTCTCTCTCTCTCTCTCTCTCTCCCTCCCTCCCTCCCTCCCTCCCTCTCCCCCTCCCCTCTCTCCCCTCCCTCTCTAAAATAAATAAATAATAAATCTTTAAAAAAATTATTCTAGGGAAAAAAATGGGGATTGATTAAACAAGATTGGCAAAATGCTATTATTAAGGTTGGGTGATATCTTTAAAGGAGTTTATTATACTGTATTCTTTATTTTTTGTATAATTGAACGTTTCATTATAAAAAAACTTTAAGGCAATATGTGAAAAATAAGCTCAAAATGCTGTAGTAGTTCAAAAGAAGCAACCACTTCTTATACTTGGATTACCTAGAAAACTCTGTGGAGGACATGATAAGAGAGCAAGATTTGACGTACATAGAGAATTTCCTTAAGTAATATATTACCTACAAGTCCACAAACTCTTATCCATAACTTCAAATCCAAAGGTTTTTATTTGTAATTTTGGTGGTGCCAGAATTTATTTGATGGCAAATAAGAGTTGTTACAAAGCGATTTATGGCCTATATTTCCCCAACATAATGTAAATATTTGTATTTATATTATTCTTCTTATATATTTGTATGTTACATATTCTTCAATAATTATTAATGTTTTTGTGAGGCACACTGCCCTAGATCCCACTGCAGGTAGTATATAACATACAGCATATGCTCCTTTAATGTCTTTTTTTTCCAAATTTTAGTGTCTTTTCAAATCTAGAATTTTCTAAGTTGTCAAGTCCAACTGCTTCTAAGGGTTTCATCCATTTGTATGATCCAAAAGTGCAATCCTTATGGTACAATACATTAGTGGAATGCTATGTATAGTTCTTAATTTCAATTTTGCTGGAATTAAGCAGATAATTTATCACTTAAATATTGCTTATTATAATATTCAAGCTAAATTTATTGTGAATGACAAAGAATGTTACAACATTTTACTTGGTGCTGTGAGCACAAAAATGACTGATTAGGTGAGTTATAAGAACTTAGCTTTTAAGGAGAAATTGTTGATGATGGAAGTCAATAAAGTGGTTAAGATTTATTTATTTGAGAGAGAGAGAGAGAGAGCATGAACAGGAGAGGCAGAAAGAGAGGGAGAGAGAATCTCAAGCAGACTCCGCACTGAGCGTGGAGGCTGTTGAGGGCCTCGATCTCATGACCCTGAGATCATGACCTAAGCCAAAATCAAGAGTCGGATGTTCAACTGACTGTGCCACCCAGGTGCCCCAAGTGGTTAGCTTTAATGGGGGGTTGGCCGAAAAGAGACAAGGGAACATTCTATACCTCAGTCTGGATGATGACTACACAGGTGTGTACATGTGTTAAAGTTCATCACACTTGAGTGCTTTACACACCTCACTGCATGAATTTTATATCTACCCCAACCAACATATAAAATAAACCATTTGCCTTGTGCATTGCTATTTCATTTTGGAATAAATGCCCCTGAAGTCGGTTGTGGACCCAGTACCTTCATTTTAGGCTTCTTCCTTGGTGTCCTCTACTGGACCCTCTCAGAAAAAGCAGGGGACCATTCCTGGCTGTCCAGAGTGTAGCTCACCAAGCCCTGCAGATTTGTCAAAATGAGAGACAATATACAAGCCTGGAAAGAAGCCAAGCTCTTCCATGAAAGATAGGTTACAAAGCAGGGGATCTGATAAAACAAGGTGCCAAGGCCCAAATTAATGGAAAAGTAGTAGGAGGAAATAGGACTAGGGCTTGGTTGCTAAACAAATAGAGAAGGACATGGGTGTGGATAAGTCTGTGTCAGTCCTGTGGCTTTGGGAGCTGTCTCAGCCTTTGCTATCTCAGGCTTTGTGCACAGGTGAGCTAGCCAAACCAGAGACAAAGCCTGAGATAGCAGAGGCTGAGACAGCTCCCAAAACCACAGGACTGACACACAGAGGGCTGGAAGAGCAACAACATTGGCATCACAAGATTGTTAGAAAAATGAAATCTGGACTCCCACCCCAAACCTGCTGCATCAGAATCCAACATGGCCAGGCGGTTCCATGCACGTTAACATTTGAGAAGCATGGAGAACCTCTGAAGTTCTAGATTCTGTGAATTCATGCTGCTGTGAATGAATTTTTATTTCTAGATATGGGATAATGAGAAACCCATGAAACTTTATCTTCAAGAAGTTCCTGTGCCAAGGTAAATATAGTTGTTCTTTCCTGCCCATACTGAGACTATGTTATGCTTAAACCATGAGCAGCACAATTTTATTCTTCATTCACTAGATGTGTAGTTATGGTCTAGATAGCAGGTAGAACATTTGCACCAAATGGACTGTATGCAAAGTCTCTGTCTGATGTCAGGGGGAAAAAAAAATCCCAGAAATGTTTGCCTTGATCACCAAATAGCATCCCTGGTATCTTGAGCATTACTTTACATATGGGTCCTTAATAGACCCTGAACACTTCGTAGTTCTCAGACTACATGGGATGAAAATGTACCTCAGAGATTCTATATCTTGGGGGCAGTACTGGGACATTTTTCTACAAAGTTTTCAAGATTTGTGTGGCCAAGGGAGTAGCTATAATAGATATGATAATTTAAGAAAACCATGAATTAATAAATTGGGTTTGATTATCCAATATTATTTTCCTACTGAGCAATAAATGGTGGATTCTTTGGCACAAGGGATATCAGAATTCTAAAAACAGCTTTAATATTGTTAAGTTGAGTATTTCATATCTTTTACATCAACAAGATATGGTCTAACCATAAGAGAAATCTCCCAGGCATGCCTTTCCTCCCTTTACTGTTTGACTTTAGACCTGCTAGCTTTCTGAAATGTTTCTCAAAGTGAATCATCTCCCACACCAAGCAGCACTCCTCGGCTGGGCATTCTTCCACATGTCTTTTCCATGGCCATTGGTTACCTCATGAATGTCTGGGGACCCCAGCACCTCCCTGGAGGTTTGACTCAATGCTGATGGTTCACATTAGAACTTGGCCATCTTGGGGTCTGTACCAATTCCAGCGATTAATTGAAGCATCTTAATAGGCATCCAAAGGGGAGTAGAGTATCTTTCCTTCATTTTACTTGAACCAAAAGTATATTGCACAGAAGAATATACAGTCAGGACGCCTGGGTGGCTCAGTCAGTTGAGCATCTGCCTTCGGCTTGGGTCATGGTCCCAGAGTCCTGGGATCATCCCCAAGTTGGGTTCCCTGCTCAGTGAGGAGCCTGCTTCTCCCTCCACCTGCCACCGCCCCTGCTTGTGCTCTCTCTCAAATAAATAAATAAATAAATAAATAAATAAATAAATAAATAAATAAAATCTTCAAAAAAAAAGAATATAGAATAAAAGGTTAGTCCCAAACAATACAACCTTGGAAAAATTATATCTGGATTCCAGCTTATTAAGGGCATCAAATGGTGTAAACATAATCTCTTGTTCATATCTTTGTGCCTGCAACTAGAAATGATGAACCATAGCTTTATTCCTAAAATACAAGATCAGAGGTTCTTCATCTTCTTTTATGCAATGGACATCACCAACAGTCTGGTGAAGCCTATAGATTCTTCAGAATGTTTTTTTTAAATGCATAAAATAAAACATGTAGAACAACCAAAGAATCTAATTATAATAAAATAAAATTTCAAAATATTTTAAGATTTTATTTATTTATTTGAGATACAGAGAGAGAGAGAGAGAGAGAGAGAGCACAAGTTGGGGACAGAGGAGAGGAAGAAGCAGGCTCCCCGCTGAGCAGGGAGCCCGTTGCAGGACTCAAGCCCAGGACTCCAAGATCATGACCTGAGCTGAAGGCAGATGCTTAACTGACTGAGCCACCCAGGTGCCCCAAAATATCTTTAAATCCCAAATTTCTGATATAGTAATACATGTACTACTTTATAATACATTAAATAAAAATCTAATGGTGGGCCTAATGACCAGTAATGATGAGTATAAATGGTATTTGAAAGTATCTGCAACAACTGTAAGGTGGTATAAAAAAATCTGTGGCTTCTGTTAATCCTAGCATTTTGTTGCTTTCATCCATAATTGAACAAAATGCTAAATTCCAGTTAGAGATAGTGAAAATAAACATATTTTTCTCTTTTTTAAATTTTATTTTTCATTTATTTGAGAGAGAGAGAGCCAGAGAGCACAAGTGGGGGGAAGGGCAGAGGGAGAGGGAGTAGCAGACTCCTCACTGAGCAGGGAGCCTGACTTGGGACTCGCTCCCTGGACCCTGGGCCATGACTTGAGCCGAAGGCAGATGCTTAACCAACTGAGCCATCCAGGCGCCCCAACATATTTTTCTCAATCCAAGTTCACCTACTACCTGTGGTTAAGAACCCCTTGTACTGGACTGTTTTTACCCAAGTTCAGCTAAGAAACTCCTTCTGTCTGTCAGCAATTTAGGAGTTTAGCTTCTGATCCTGGAAAATAGTTTCCTGTAGCAGTTTGTTTTGTCAGATATCCAGTTTCGAGGATATGCGGAGACATTCCCTGTCAACAGGTCTTTTGTGACTTACAGTAAATCCTACTCCATTTCAATTTATTGAGCTGTACCTGGGACAGTGCCCCCTGGGCTTTCCTGTGGCCCAGTGACTCAGCATTACGACACAAACTTGGGTTTGCCTGGTTTGCTTGCAGGGGTTGCTCTCAACTTGAAAAGTGACCAAATCTCCCAGCCTCCCGGGTCGATAATTTAGGAAACTTCCCTTAGTCATCTTCTGTTCCTTGTTAGGAGGAATTTGTTCATGTCTCTCCTTGTGCCAGATACTGCTAGACATGTTAAGAACGTAATTTATTACTGACACTCTTTTTTTGTCTTTAAGATTTTTTATTTATTTATTTGACAGAGAGAGAGACAGTGAGAGAGGGAACACAAGCAGGGGGAGTGGGAGAGGGAGAAGCAGACTCCCCGCCGAGCAGGGATCCCAGGACGCTGGGACCATGACCTGAGCTGAAGGCAGATGCTTAACAACTGAGCCACCCAGGCGCCCCCTGTGACCGACATTCTTACTCTTGGAGTAATTGTTCTAGAATACATTTTTAAAGCCTACCATGAGGATTTCTTTTTTAAAGATTTTATTTATTTATTTGACCGAGAGACACAGCGAGAGAGGGAACACAAGCAGGGGGAGTGGGAGAGGGAGAAGCAGGCCTCCCGCTGAGCAGGGAGCCCGATGCGGGGCTCGATCCCAGGACCCTGGGATCATGACCTGAGCTGAAGGCAGATGCTTAACAACTGAGCCACCCAGGTGCCCACAAGAGGATTTTTTTTCTTGGTAGAAAAATGTATCTCAGCTCCTTTTGTGAAGAAAAATGACTTGCTCATATTTTTTATTTCATTCATTCATTCTGAGTAAACATGAAAAGCAAGTATCATCCTTCTGTAAGTTTGGAAAGGGAATAGAATGTTATTTCACGCCAGCTGTGAAAATAACATTCAAAAAGCATTATGCCAATGGTGAGAAAAGGGAAATTGAACCATTTGGTCATGAATTCAGCCCATTCTGTACATATTAGGGTGGAAAGGAGAAGTGAGAAGAAAATGTGAGAAGGAACATTCTGGTACTCATTTTACTCTATCCAAATGCGGGAGCTTGACTTGTCTCCATGGTGTTAAGCCCTTTCAACAAACAGCCTGCAGCTCTGCTTGCTCCTATGAAACCAGTCCCTTCCTTTTTTTTTTTCTTAATTTAAATTCAATAACATATAATGCATTATTAGTTTCAGTGGTAGAGATCAGTGATTCATCAGTCTTATATAATACCCAGTGCTCATTACATCACATGCCCTCCTTACGGTCCATCACCCAGTTACCTGATCCGCCTACCCCTTCCCCTCCAACAACCCTCAGTTTGTTTCCTATGATTAAGAGTCTCTTACAGTTTATCTCCCTCTCTGATTTCATCTTGTTTTATTTTTCCCTCCCTTCCCTATACTCCTCTGTTTTGTTTCTTAAATTCCACATATGAGTGAGATCATATGATAATTGTCTTTCTCTGATTGCCTTATTTTGCTTAGCATAATACCCTCTAGTTCCATCCACATCATTGAAAATGGCAAGATTTCATTTTTGATGGCTGAGTAGTATTCCATTGTATTTCTATACCACATCTTCTTTATCCATTCATCTGTTGATGGACATCTGGGCTCTTTCCATAGTTTGGCTATTGTGGACATTGCAGCTATAAACATTGGTGTGCAGGTGCCCCTTCGGATCACTACATTTGTATCTTTGGGGTAAATACCTAATAGTGCAATTGCTGGGTCATAGGGTATCTCTATTTTCAATTTTTTGAGGAACCTCCATGCTGTTTTCCAGAGTGGCTGCACCAGCTTGCAATCCCACCAACAGCATAAGAGCGTTCCCCTTTCCCTGCATCCTCACTAACATCTGTCATTTCCTGACTTGATAATTTTAGCCATTCTGACCAGTGCGAGGTGGTATCTCATTAGGGAAACCAGTTCCTTCCTTATTGCTTATAATTCTGGCTTCCTTCTCCACAGCTTTATTAAAACTATGCAAAACTTACTCTTTTTTGGTGGAATTCAAACCATTTTTTTAAAAGATTTTATTTATTTAGAGAGAGCGCGGGGGGGGGGAGGGAACAGAGAGAAAGGAGAGAGATAATCTTAAGCAGACTCTGTGCTCAGCATGGAGCCAATGCAGGCCTCAATCCCATGACCCCAAGATCATGACCTGAGCCAAAACTAAGAGTCGGACGCTCCACCCACTGAGCCACCCAGACACCCAAACCCTTTTTTTAGTCCTCAACTTCCTTATTCTTTGAGCAAAATTTGGCCCAACTGGCCTTCCCTTCCTTCTTGAAACACTTCCTTTGGCATCCGTGGCACAATACTCTCGATCATGGGCCTCACATTTGCCATTTCTTCCTCCTGCTGCCCTGTAATGAAGGGTGATCCCCGAGGTTCAATACTAAACTCATCCATCATGAAGGCTTACAAGTCTGGGTCCTCTGCTGCGAATTTTCACCTTCGATCCTGGCCTTTCCTCCTCAAGTTTCCATTCATTCAGGAAACATTTTTAGAGTGCCTACTTGTTTTCAAATTGTCCCCACCCTGAAGGAGTGTTGAGGAAGTGGAGGGGGTGGCAGGTGAAAGACTGAAGAATGAAGAGAGGTGGGAGCAGACACCTGTACAGATAAAGATGTCAGGGCACTA